TACTAGCAATCCTGAACTACCTTCAAGGAGCAACAAGGTGCTAGGTTGTCAATAGAGGCCAAGTGGGGAACTTGAACTTCCACACCCATCTGATAACAAGGGGCACCTCCCCTCCCCTATTAACACAGGATCAGAAGGCCCACTAAAATTGAAGATTTAAATAACATCCTCTAGAATCTCATAACCTAATGGCCAAAATGTTAAGATTCATTCAGAATCATTCATCAGATAAAGAACCAAGAAAATCTCAACTTACATAGAAATGACACAAATGTTAGAATTATCTGACAAGGATTTTAAAGCAGCTATCATAAAAATATTTCAACAAATAATTACGAACACATGAAACAAATGAAAAATTTAATGTCTCAGCAAAAAAATAGAAACTATAAAGAAGAACCAAATAAAATTTGAGAATTGAAAAAAAAAAAACACCAAAACCCTCAATGGGTAAGCTCAACAACAAAATGCAAAAGACAGAATAAAGAAGCAGTGAACTTGCAGAGATAATAATAAAAATCATCCAAACTGGACAACAGAGAGAAAATGAAAAAAAAAAATTATGACCAGAAGCTCATGGACTTTGGGACTATAACAAAAGATCTAACATTGTTGTTGAACTCCCAGGACACAAGAAAGAGGGTGTGGCTGAATATGTATTCAAAGAAATAAGGGCCTGAAATTTTCCCAAATTTGACAGAAAACATACAGCTTCAAGAAGCTGAGTGAATTCCAATAAGAATAAATGCAAAGAAATCTATGCCAAGACACATCAAAATCAAATTTCTGGAAACTAAAGACAAAGACAAAAACTTGAAAGCAATGAGAGAGAAAGAATACCTCATTTACAAAGGAAAAACTATCTAAATGACAACAGATTTCTCATCATTACAAGTGGCAAAACATTTTTCAGGGGCTAAAAATAAAAGGACTGTCAACCTGGAATTTTATATCCAGCAAAGATAACCTTTAAGAGTAAAGGCAACATCGAGACATTCTCAGATGAAGGAAAACTAAGAGAAGTTGTCACCAGGGGATGGACTCTGAAACAGTGGTTAAAGAAGGAATCTTGAAATGTCAGAAAGGAAGACTATAGGAGTAAAAATAGGAGCAAATACGATAAACACTTCTCTTCAGTTTTCTAAATTATGTTTGACAGTAGAAGCAAACATTTTAACACTGGTGTATTTTTAATGTAGGTAGAGGAATGTTTAAGAAAGCTGTGTTATAAACAAGGGAAAGTAAAGGGAATTAAATGATGAGGGGTTGTGACTCTAAAGGGGTAGTTCCTTGAGATGATGGAATAGTTCTGTATCTTGATTATGGTGGTAGTTATACAAATCTAGGCATGTGATAAAATATCATAGAGCTATGCTGGTTGTAAGATTTTACAATGTGCTCACCTTGCAGGAAACTGGCTGAAGAATATAGAGGATCTCTATGTACTATGTTTGCAACTTTCAGTAGACATATAATTACTTCAAAATAGAAAAGTTAATTTTAAAAAGAAGAAATTATATGAACCTACACACACACAATCCTTTATAAGCAAAAGCAAAATGAAGCAAATAAAATCCAACTGTGTGTTTAGTGGCACAACCATGCAGGAATCCTTTCAAGTGATTTTACAGCAGAATAATTTGACTCTACATCCTTAAAGGAATAAACCCTAAGGACAAAAAGAATTGCAAAAGAAAAAATATCTTAAACCTTTTTCAATAATCTTATTGTTGATAGTCTTACAGTTATTCTGATACCATGTATGAGTATATAAAATAGGATGAAGCAATAAGTAATTATATCAATATCATGTATATCCAGGATTTTTTTTTTTTTTGTATAGGAGAAAGGAAATACCAAAATAAGATGGCAGGCTCAGCGCCTGTAGCTCAGAGGTTAGGGCACCAGCCACATACACTGGAGCTGGCAGGTTTGAACTCAGCCCACACCTTCCAAACAACAATGACAACTACAACCAAAAAAATAGCTGGGTGTTGGGGCAGGCACATGTAGTCCCAGCTACTTGGGAGACTGAGGCAGAATTGTTTAAGCCCCGGAGTTTGAGGTTGCTGTGAACTGTGACACCACGGCACTCTTACCAAGGGCAACATAGTGAGAGACTCTGTCTCAAAAAAAAAAAGAGAGAGAGAGAGAGAGAAAAAAGATGGTTAAGTAAAAACTGTTTAAAACTGAATTGGATGGGAAATGTCAGCATAATTTTATAATGTATTTTCACTTAAAAAGAAAAGAAAAAAATTCTATTTCCTACAACTCACTAACAAAGTCTAGAAAAACAATGACCAACCCAGAAGCAATGAACCACCAGACTTCAGTCTCTAAATAACATTTCCTACAAAAAAGGGACCAAGATTTCTCTTTTTTTGAGACAGAGCCTCAAGCTATCCCCCTGGATAGAGTGCTGTAGCATCACAGCTCACAGCAACCTCCAATTCCTGGACTCAAGCAAGTCTCCTGCCTCAGCCTTCCAAGTAGCTGGGACCATAGGCACCCACCACAACACCTGGCTATTTTTTGGTTGCAGTTGTCATTGTTGTTTGGCAGGCCCAGGCTGGATTTGAACCCGCCACCTTAGGTGTATATGGCAGGTGCCTTAGCCACTTGAGCCACAGGCGCTGAGCCAGGACCAAGATTTCTTAGAGAAATAGTTGCTTCCAGGCCGGGGGCAGGAGGTACACAAAATGAGCCTGAAACATCTTGTCCTAATATTAGGGTAGTAGAGAGGCTATCAGAAACTACTGAGGTTATTTCAAAACACCAACATTGGCCAAAATCCCTCATGGCCCAAAACAGGACAATGTAAGCATCAGTAAGAATAATAGCTACAATGTATTAAAATACATCAAATTTCTTTAAATCTATGAGTCTATCATGGTGCTCAAAAAAAAATAACTTTATTGATCACCTTTGGAGAATGCTAGGGAACCAACTCATTATTTTGAAAGCTAGTAAATAAAGGAAAAAAGTCATCTATCCTGCCTTTATTTATAAACCGTACCTCACAATAACCAAACTTTTAATGAGGAGGTATTTTCTTTATAGAAGTTATAGAGCTAATAAATGAAGATGTAATGATGGCCTCAAATTGAATATCACCTTTTCGCAACCTTTAATGAAATAAAGAATCTAGGCAATTAACATGAGGACTGCTAACATCTGTAAAAGAAATAACCAGACCGTGTGAGCCTCCTGTTGAAGTAAACATTACCACTTAGGAATTGCTCTTGCCAAAAAAAAAATTGAACCTGAGTAAGTCTCTAGACCTAACTACCAATTCACGGGAATAATACCATGGGGATGCAATCAGCAAACCCAGATTCTGGGAAACCCTAGAGTGCAAATGATCCAGTTTTTCAACAAATAACATGCAAGGAGGAAAGAGAGAGACACAAACAGAGAAATTCTGTGGATTTTAAAGGACACATCAACCAAATGCAATGTAGGGATCCTGTTCAGATCCTGATTTAAACTATAGGGGAAAAAATTAATGTTCACCACATATTAGAGGATATAAAATCTTGCAAATTCATTGAGTTTGATAGCAATTGTGAGTTTGTCTACAGATGAAAAAATGTGCCATCTTAGATTTGCTTCAAAATAAGCTGGGGTAAGGGAGAAAAAGGCAGGTGAGCATTAATGAAACAAGACTGGCCAGGAGTTGATCATCGTTGAGACTAGCATACATGGAGATTCATTTTACTATTGTCTCCATTTTTACATGACACATGGACATGAGTCTGAAATTATTCAAAATAAAAAGTTTTTAAAAATTTCTCCATATACAGCCAGAAAGTTACATTCCTATTATTTACTCTGTAATAAGGGTCTTTAATCTGTTCTCTGGAGCCCAGAATACTAGTATCATAGCAATGATAATAACAGTAGTAGCATTAACAATAAAAGCATTTTTGGAGCACATACAAGGTCTGACAATTATGTTCGCAAACTTGTCCTGGGAAAACTGCTACATACCCCATTGGTGAATATCACTATGGTCACCTTTGAAGTACTCCCCTTGGGAAGCTGTGCACTGACACCAGCATGCAGTCCACCTCTGAAAACAATTTTGGAACTCTTTCTATAATGACCATCAGAGCTGTCATCATACAAAGTGTGACAATTAAGTTTGAGAACATGCTACCATTCACTTACATTGGCAGTGCTGAACAGAAAATTCAGCAAGGCTTCCTAACCTCAGTATATCAGTATCTCACAGCAGTGTGTGTGTCAATGTGTGGTGGTATCTTGTTGACCAGCATTCTTCATTATTGTCACGTGTTTTGTGTGCTGTATGACAACAGTTCTGATGGTCATTATAGAAAAAGAGTTCCAATATTGCTTTGAAGGGTAGAAAAGGCACTGGCATCATCCACAGCTTGCCAAAGGGAGTACTTCAAAGGTGACTGTAATGACATTCAACAACAAAGTACACAGCAATTTTTCTAGGATGAATTTGTGAACTTAACTGTCAGACCTTGTACTTACAATGTACTAAACTCATGTTGTAAGTTTTTTTCTGAATATGTTCATTTAATTCACACAAAATCCTATGTGTTAAGTACTTTATATAATGTTTACATTTTACAGATGAGGAATCAACCTGAGAGAAAGAAGTTTGATGATGAAGTTAGTCCTCACACCCAAATCTGACTGCAGATTTCCACCTTTTAACCGATACCAAAGGGTAAAAGATGAAGACCACTGTCATATCCTCAGTCTTGCCTTCTTTGGCATAAACATCTTAAGTTCTTTTACTTTGCACCTGGGCCCAGCCACATGGCTTCAATGCCCCACAATGGCACACCAACCTTGTCACAATCCTTGGAACATGTGCCAGGAGTTACAAAAGTAGTTGAGTTTCCTGAAAGTATCTCAGAGGCCCAAGTGCAGCTTGCCACACCCCTGTCCTGCCCACACCTGTTCCTCCTCCCTCCAGACCTGAAGCCTACACATGTGCATGTCCTAGGAGTGGCCAGGCTCACCTGGGCCTCGGTGCCTCTTCTCCATCCAGATGTAGCAGTTGTTCTGGGCAACCCCGGTCTGTGAGTCCAAGAAGGGAAGACGCACACTGCGCTCTGCACACAGCCGTGAGTTATAACTCCGGCAGTGCTCAATGGCTTCCTTGTAGAACTGGTCCCCAAGCCTGCCAGAGACAGAAAAGGAAGGAGTCAGGCCAGAGAAAACCTAAACACATTCAGAGGGAAACTGATGTCACCACCCCACCTCCCTGAGAAGATTTCACAGTTATGAAGACCAAGGCAGTAAGTACCAAGAACCTTGCTAATGAGCAGAATGCAACCCCTGGTCAGGTTTCCATCAG